TTTGTTAAGGTTGATGGTTGTTGTATTTATTATACATGATATGAGTTCAATTTGGTAAGGTTGTTAGACTTATGCAGGGTAATGTTGTTATATTGTACATGGTGTATATAATACTAAATTTTATATTCAATGACTGTGAGTTCATGTGACCTAGTTGAAAGTATTTTTTATTGATCTTTTTGGTATGCTTACATCGCATTCGTGGTCACAGTTTTTTATTGTTATGGTTCGACATTTGCCTTGTTTCAAATGTAGAGTTGGTTTAATTATATATTTATCCCTTATTGTGGATTAGTGTTAGGCGGTGTTGGGTGCTATGAAGGAACATTGGAGATATACTATGTTGTTAATTTGCGTGGTGTATTTGGGAGGGTTCTGTAGGCGGGCGTGTCCTAGGAATCGTCGCAAAAGAGTCTGATGCCATGTTCGAACATCAAATCAATGCTACTCCCATCACCGGCAGGGACTTAGGTAGGATGACATTGTACAGTGAGCTACTTAGATTCTTTTTATTCCTTATATGCCACTTGGTATGATATATTGACGTGAATACCCTCCTACTTCCATCACAGATCGTCGCGATTACTGTCCCAACTTGCCATAAATGTTGCACCACTCCTCACTGGTTGACTTGGCCTGACGATACTTTTGTGCCAAAAACAAAAAATTGCCTTCCAACCACACCAAATGGTTGGTTTCGAACCCTTCGGAAATCCTGAATTCTCTATCTGCTTCAAGTATACTTGAATATTACAGAGGAACAGAAGGGGGAGGCTTTGAATGGTAAAGATCGAAATTCGTCACATCTAGTCTCACCCAGATAGCAACCCCACGTCCGGAAAAGCACTGTACCTGCGTTTCATCCTTTGGGGAATCGTCAGCAATACGCATTCTATCTGACCCTGGTAGGGCTCGAACCCGCAACTCGACAGTTGGCCGTCCGTGGTTGAGACTACGGAGCTATGGGAGACGGCAACGACCATCGTGAATAAATTACTAGATACGCTATAGTGCCGCTCACTATTCACTGTTTTGCACGTTACTGCCGTGCGGAGAACAGGGTAGCACCTTCACCAAGCGACGAACTTACCAAACTTAAGCCACCAATTAATTTGTGACGTTCTAACCAGTTTGGTATGCACACTGATTACAAAGGATTGAGCGGCGCTATATCACATCTAGTAACTTATTCACGATGATCGTTGCCGTCCCACGTAACTCAGTGGTCTCAACCACGGACTGCCAACAGTCGAGTTGCGGGTCCGAGACCTACCAGAGTCCGATGGAATGCACACTACTGACGATTTCCAAAAGGATGAAACGCGCGTACATCATTTATCCGGGCGAGTGATGGCTGTTTGATAGACTCTAGATGTGACGAATTTCTGTCAATATCATATTCTAATATGTCGAATAACCCATACAGTAATTGTACAGCCGCTGCAATTATAGTCGCGATTAACAGGCTGAGGTCAGCCACCGAGACTGTGTACAGCCAAATGTTCTTACCAGAGGACCCATCCAAGCGATGTCTACAAAAATTCCCAAAAAATATAATCGATGTAACTTTATATTGCTAGCATGCAAGTCAAATCCTGCCAGCAATGTGCTTTTGTGCATCCATGTTGACTGATATTCCAGCCGCCATCTCTCGAGCTGATTGCTCGAGAGCGCTGATCCGCATCTGACAGTGCAAACTGTCATACGCAGGCTTTCACCTATTGCTGCTTGCCCATGCAGAGCAACGCTGTGCAACTACAAAACACAGATTGGGGCGTTCGAGTGAGTGAAAAGTTACTGACAGTCTACACAGCATACACATTGTGCCGCAACCAAAAGCAAAAGAAGAACAGCACAATAGAAGCTACCTGTACATTAATTCACCCACGTTGATTAATGTCAAAAAAGTAAGTGTTGCACTTTCCGAAGTGGTAATCATTCTCGTGTAAATTTGTAAAATATGGATGCCAGTGGGTACCTGTTCAGTGCCCCACACATCACTTGCGTTTTATAGTAGCTTAAGTTTACTGGCTAATAAGCACTATGAAGTACAGCAGTTGTATAGCCTGCAGATTTACTGTGTTCAAAAACATAGTTTTCGGTCAACCATCATGTAATTCCTTGCAGCTCGTTTTGTAGAAAAAACCGATTTCGGGAAGCATTTTACAAAACCCAAACCTATAGCGGGAATCCGTTGGAGATGGATTAATCAGAGATTCAATTAACCTTTGGAATTGGTCGGTGAGAAACGCCCTGCCGTTTAATGTGAACAAATGTCGCGTTGTTCATATCCGCCATCGACAAGTCCACGTCTACAAGCTTGGGGCACACGATCTGAAGACCACCACTCAGGAACGCGACTTTGGTGTGCTGGTACAGGAAGGCCTCGGGTGTTCCAAACAGTCAGATTCCGCTTCTAAAAGGGGCAACCAGCACGTTGGACTCCTGCGAAGAGCATTCGGAATTTTGGATCCATTCATCTTCTCTTTGATGCTGAATGCCAACGTGCGTCCTCACGTCGAATATGCAATCCAGGCCTGGCAACCCTGGCTAAAACGTGACCTTACAGCGCTTGAGACCCCACAGCGTCGAGCAACGAAAATCGTCAAGGGCTTGCGCCACACTCCTTACCAGGAACGACTGGAGATACTCGGAGTGTTCAGCGGAAGGTACCGGCGACTGCGTAGAGACCTCATACTAGTGTACCAGATATTGAGCGATCCCAGTCACGTATGCCGCCACCTCTTGAAGCTCAGCCCGAACAGTAACCTTCGCGGTAACAGTTTAAAGCTGAGCCAACAGTACAGTCGTCTAGACTGTCGGAGAACCTATTTCTCCCTCCGGGTCTGCGGGCCCGGAACGCCCTTCCAAACTCAGTTGTTTGTGCCCCCACATTAGATACGCTTAAAAAAAAACGATTGGACGTCGCACTGAGCGCCCTGCGCTTTGTTTTATGAACGAAAACGCTTGTATATATTTAGGCTGACCAGCCTGTTTGGATTTATACCCCAAATTCACGGTCATAAATCTGTGCGAACCGGTGAGTACTCCATTTTTATTTGCTACCATCACCAACGATAACAATTTCTTAGCCAGTCTTGCGTCGTACCACTTTATCCCCCTAAAACTGTTATACTCCTACCTTTTATCTCACTGACGCTCCTTACTTCAACCACTTATGTGGTTTGCCAATTTGTTAGTATTTCTATTGCCAACCTGCGGGACTCGTTAAGTGTATGCTTTTTTACCCGTCATATACCATTGTTCCATTGTCCCATTGTTCCATTTGCGATTACATACTCGATTCCATTCTGAGTAGGGGACTTCGAATGTAATTAATTAAAGGTTCTCTACAACAACTGTTATAAATTAGTTTTTAGTGGCTAAGTAAATTTCTTTTGACTTTAACTCATCCTGAAATGCAGGGGGCGGGGCCTTTAAATAGGCAGTGTCATTATCACTAAACATCGTCTTTACAATATCGCTATGTATACAATAGTCTCCAAAATATTTCAACATGGACCCTTTTCAAACCATTTCCAAGGTCACCACTAGTGTCCTTCGTTTACTTTTTGATAAAAGCCCGAGATGCTGCGCACTTGAAGATGGGTCGACCCGATTGGAAATCTAGCTTGCAGAAGTGACCCTTCAATAGAATGTAGCTTCAGATTATTCCGTCCGTACATGTTTCATTGTTGCGCGTTTATACCAACCGTTTATTCAACTGATACCTGTACATACTGTCCGTTATGTTATTCACACCAATTTACATGTTGATAATGTATTTTTATCTCATCTGTAGTCCATATTGTAAAGTGCCGAAAATATACCCGTCAGGATACCTAAAGCTTATTTTGACTTGACTTGACTTGTATTCCGTCCACAGTTGTCTGTGGGGAATAGTAGTTTTGCATTCGTCTCTTTATACACTACGCCGCAGACGAAATAATCAGTTAGATATATATTGTGCGTATGCTGAACTTTTCATTCCGGTTACAGTTAAAACGATCGGTGCTGTGCATGTTTCGGTTCTAACCAGGGTTGCACACCTCTGCTTGTCAGGCGACGTGGCATGATGATAGTTTATGGTCAAAGTTTGTAACAAGGCGGAAAACGGTCGGATTCCAAAGTAACACACTTAAATGATGCTCGCTCTGAATCTTCCTTCAGTAATGTACCAAGAGTAGCGTTATGGCTAAAGACGAGCAGAAGTAACGCTTCTCTTTTCAGATTATTTGACACCATAGGCTCTGGGTGATACAATTTAATCGTCCGGGACATTATTTTCACTAGTCTTCTCTGCTTTTGTGTGTGAGTATTTCTTGCGTAGCAGATGAATTCATTAACCCCCACTTTCTCCGCACTAATGACGTCATTTTTATACCATACGAGGCTAGTCGCATCTGCCAACATCCACCTATCATATGGTGTACCATACGTTTTGGTCATTCAAACTATTCTAGTATCGAAAGTCACAAGATCAACTATATAACACAAGATCGATTTACCACTGACCTCTACAAGTGTGATCGTCCATTCTCTTCAAACCAGGCTTGCACTGACATGAATAAACACCGCCTTCGGGAACACAGATCTCACCTTCACTTGGGCAAGTAATGCATGAACAAACATCTACAATACAAGAAGCATGTAATTGCGTTTTTGATGAAAACAACTGCTTCTAGAGGGTGTTTGAGAGAAAATTACAGCTAATTGGAAAACCGCGTAGGGTAACACAAAAAGTGTCAGCGTACTGTAACCGGGGAATAAAAACTGAGGGTCGTCATAATGTCCAGACAATGAAACGCACTCGATTAATGTATGTGTAACCCTGACAGCCACGTGAACAGAAAACAAAACTATTTACTCTCCGTAATGGTTGATAAACAATATGTGTTTGGAATGTGTAGTACTCTGCAAAATGGGACATTTCTGAGACGGGTTAGTTATGGGGGTCTACATGTATGACGCATTATTACTGCTATTGTACTTAAGAACACGTGTATTTCTGCTGATGGAGAAGCGGATAAAGGCGCGTACACACACACACGAACAACTGCTATACAGTGGATCGCTAGATGCGCAGTAACCAGTCCACAAACAGTCACCATGTATTATACAAATGCGTTTGTTCAGGCAATGCTGGCACACGGTGCAGGCATTGTATATCCGGCATTGATAATGTGCAACTAGCCTTACCCACGGCATTAATAAGGACATTTTAATCAAAGTAAGAAATGCAGACAATCCTTAAGGTAATACTAGTCTGACCTGATCGGCATTTGTACATTTTGCGCAACGATGATACTGACGACCGATGAAAGTAGATGCACGGGCAAAACCGCCACAATCGGTAGTCACTTTGGTCAAACTTATCTAGACCCAGAAATATGGTCACGATTGACACATTGACTAAATTAGCACAGCCATCAGGTCCACGCACTAATCTCAGCAGGTTTTAGCTTACACGCTTTACGGCTTGTACCTCATCTAGCACTGTGTGCATGCCATCTATCTACACCTGTGCATGAGCACATATTTATCAGGAGTGAATGAGACGGTGTCTCTTCGGTGTCGTTCACCCTGTATTATGTGGATAGCCCAACCGAAAGCGTAAGCACAAAAGGTAGTTGACGGACGCAGATCCGGCGGTTAGGTATGAAACTCGGGTGATCCAATGCTTGGACGCGCTCATTAAAAAGACGTTTATCGCTATTCATTGTTTTCCCAAGTTTACTCAACTCACACATTTCCAACTATTTAATTTGGTATGCAGATCTTTCCTCGAGTAATCTCTGGCAGGCAAAGACGGTTACGCGATTTTCTAACCAGTAAATACTGGGTACTTCTATTTGCACTGATTGCTGAATTGGCTTGATGAGCCGAGCTTCAGCTCGACATTCAAAATATCCTTAAAACTCCTTTTTGGTTCGTGTCATCCGGCCCACTAGTTAATCGGAACACCGAGTGTGTTCTTTAATTTCGAGTTGAGTTAACAATTGTAGTTAAACCGTCCGTAAATTTCCGTCTATCAACGGCTTTTGATTTCAAAGCTGTTGAGATCATGTGCCCCAACTTGTCTTTACGCTGCTTGTGCTTCAACGCTCGGAGTTTTATCGCAAGTGGTGTAGATTCCACTGCAAACCGAAAATAGTTAGTTAAGTTGAAGATTTATCTTCTTCAGCAGTGTATGGTTCGTCTGCAATCTACAATTTGACCTAATGTTTCGTTCACTAATTAGGCGGATACCACAGTTATTTATGTTCGGAAGTCCTAGATACAGTCTTTGATTGAACAAACCATGTACTTAATCTCATTCCAGTTTCGGTTCAGAATTTACTCGCATCATCATTAATAAAACAATGCAACTATTTTAAAACAGTGTAAGTTTCAAATAAATGACAAAATTTAGATCGATTGCAAGCAGGCCTTTCGATAAATGCCACCTATTCCTTGGTAAACAATGCATTTTATTTCGATAATTCCACGTTGTTACAAGATTAGACTCGGCTATGCGATATGCTGTAAATGGGTTGACGTCCATATGGCATTTTGAAATCTGCCCGTAAAAGAGACCGTACATTTGACATGCTGAAACATATCACATTGAACTCACCAGGTTCCGTTGAAGACAGTAGCGGTACATCGACACAAAAGAGATTGCAAGTACCGTCGGTTGACGCACAATCCTCACTACAGTACCCGCGGTCCAATAATCGCAGGTAAAACGGATGATCGCGTGGAACGACACTATCACGACGCAGTAAACAGTTGGAGGCTGCTCCTGCTAAAACCACAGATTCAGCTACCGCCGACCATCGTACAGTTAAATCGTCCAATACTTGCTCTTCACCAGTTGTTGCACGCGACTCCGGTACTAGATGCACAGAATTTTCGGGAAAAACAATTCGACCATAGTTGTCCACGTGATATGAAGCATAGAAATTACGGTCACCCACATTGCCGGCTTCACGATAGGCCCGTACAAGTTGTTTGTTGGGCTCTGTGGCAGATACCTGAACATCGATAGAGCCCCTTGCGTATGACTGAGTTGTTTCAGGCTCCAACTTGAGCTCAACCTTGACATTAAATTTCCCAACATGTTCCACTGCAAAGTAGAACTGCAAGCGAAAAGTTCCTCGAAACGATCCGCCCAAACTAAACAAGTTGTAAGGGCGAGAATACTCTGAAGAAGTTTGGTTTTGACAAGGCGTAGCAAAGATGCCGTTGAGTACGTGAAACATCGGGGTAAGAAGTCGTACCACTTGGTAGCTTGTGTCGTCTGCAATTCCATTTCGTATTCCACTTGAACTTCTTTTTGACCGACCGGTTTGAACGTCGAGATAAACGGGCAGAGTGCGACTAACCGAATACTGTGCCAGACTTATGGTCAGGTTTCCTCGAAAGGCAAAATTGTAATCGCTTTCTGAAAAAAGCGGCCGGGAAGAGTCAAGTAAAGAAGCATACTGTAGATGCTGTACAAAGAAGGCAGATTCCATGTGTTTCAATTGTATTGTCATTCATATTATTATCAAAATCGTTATCGACCACAAGTATAAAGTGAGAATCGCGTTTGAACCTGGCACGAAACTTGGTACACTGATAAGCAAATCAAGGTATTAGTTAGATCAAGACAGCGCATAAATCTACGGTACCAAGAATAACACCCTGGGCAGCCAGACCCTGAAAATCATGTCTGCGGGTTTCTATTAAAAAGTAGTGCACCAATAGTTATAAACCTTACCGATATTCGTAATACCAGTCGTCATAGTTTTTGCATGTTCGTGTTGGACCTCAAGTTAATACCTCTTTTTTACTCAGTGGGGATATTAGATGCATGCCCCCTGCTTCATACGACCCAGATCAGGTAGGCCGGGTACGCGAACGAATGCAGCCCCTCGTAGTCAGCGGAAAATGAAGCAATTAATGAAACAGTGAACAGTGAATGTACACGGGTTAAAAAGCAATGGGTTACGTATTCCGTCGGGCGGTTATGCAGGGTTATCGAAAAACAACAAAGCGGTGGGTTATTTACTTTTAAAAGAGGCTTATCGTTTATTTCGCTGTAGTACTGCGCTCAGTCTAGTTCCGCAGCACAACTATGTTAATAAATCTAAAGTATATGCCAGGAATGCGATGGAGATGTAGTACTAGGTGCTAAAATGTAGGTGAGTAAGTGAGTCATCAAACGTCGTGTAAATGTGGATACTGATGGTGCGGAAATGACCGATTCTGAATGACGTGGATGAACGTATACTAAAAAGAATAACGCTGTTCTGTGCACAAACAAGGATAGTAGTACTATTAAGACATCTTCTTTTACTGTCTGATCTGAGGACAAACTCGTTTTCAAGATGTTGCAAATCTTTCCATTCACGTGGCTTGAAAGGCATTATTGGTCTGCTATATATACTTTGTAGTACATACACACATAAGGGTAGCCACATTTATATTACCTTGAAGCTCCATTTGACGTAAGTAAACTACTGGAGAACAAAACATGATCTAAGTGAGTGGGTGTTAATAATTGGAATTCCAGAGCGTAACGAGTTCACTGAAATAACACCTGAAGCTTTGTTTGGGACACATCAAGCTCAGCGGGATAGTGCCTGTCAGCGGATGACAGGGATATCCTTCTATTCAGAACAAGACAACTATACAAGTACAAACTGTGTGTATTTGTTACTTGCTTGGGCCAAGGCGCGGCACAAACACAATGATTGGATGGTATATCAAACGGATGGAATACCTTTCAATGGCCTTTTCCCACATTTGAGTCAAATTGCAGCTTCTACCGTGCAATGTAAACCATAGTAACAGTATCGATCTGTCGTGCATTTCCAGTGGGTGGAATCATCCTCTTGTGGGTGCCATGTGCAACGGATACGCCTTGGTACAAGATGCCCAGCCATTAGGTACTTTAACTGCTAGTGTTTTCATACCAGAAACAGTTGCGCTCTTTGCTGCTCACATATACACTAGTGACTTCTTCAGTGTTCTATGCTCAGGCATAGTGTGGGGTTAATTTAGCAAAAATATTATTGCGCCAACCGTGATCTATTTCACCTTCTCCTTGAAGTGGCCTATTTCTTCTACAATATGTTTACAGACAGTACTAGATAAATGTAAACGGAACAGTATCTTTGCACCTTGTAGTCCCTAATAAGGTTCTTGCTTTGCACACATCTGCACTGTATGTCATCTAACTGACAGTTATTACACAGTTTATCAGAGCCTAGCAACATTTGATTAAAAAGACACCAGAACACTTGAGCCTGTTGCAACCTCAAAAAAACTATACTTCCGGATTGCCTCGGAGGGAGGATATGGCAACAAGTGCCAGAGCATCAGATTGCTCATCACACATTTAGACAAGTGGTTTTTTTTACTGTGGTCGGCATTTGCGCTAATCTGAAATAGCTCAAAGGACGCAGTTCAATAAAACTGATTAGTAGCCTACCTCACGAAAATCGACATAAGATCCTACCTGACCACTTTAAACTTCGGACACTGTTTATTGTCCGACGCTATCAGGGGTTTAACAATAAACACACAGAATACCTCAACAAAATAGATTCACTTCGATCTCGTCGGATTTCAGGGATGCTGGACTTCAGCTTAACAACGGAGTACTATCTCAACAACGTCACTTCTGCAATACTCACACTACCATACCCGCGTTACATAACAGTCGCGAAGCAGAATAGTGCTGACCGGCGAAGTAGTTTACATCGAGCTCCTGTGGGAACATGCTATATCTAGATTAGGGACTCCTTCCAGTGATTCTGATTGGTGTTGACAAATGGTTTTCGACCATCATTTTTCACCCTTTACTGTCTACTTTCAAAAGGGATAATATTCTTGTTATTGCCACGAACAGCGCTTTTTACGGCCACGCAATCGCTTACTGCAGAAAACAGAGGTCAACTAGCACACCGTGGAATACCTGGCCCCCGTCGATCAGGAATAAGAGGGATTAGAGCCGGTATCAGAAGCCGGTTTATTGCTTTACAACTATGTTGTTTCCCTTACGAGGTTCAGAAACTGGAGTACATCGGTCGTTCTGGGCCTGTTGTTCACCAAAGGAAAACCCATAAGAGGAATGGTAATTCTGGGTAGTCCTTTGGTTCGCAATGGTGAAGAGACATCATCACTGTTTTGCTGCCATTTTTGCTCCGGGGATGAAAAGCTGATAGTAAACACACATAGGTCAGCATGCATTGCAATATTCTGCTTAATCACACCATTTGGTTGCGGATAGCTGAATAATATTCCATTCCGCTGTTAAAATATCGTTAACTGGCTGAACAATTGAGTGGAAAGCGTAGCAGTTGATAACTTCCACAAGAGCACAGGGGAAAACATGAAAGCAGGAATGTATGCTATGACAAGGCTAAAGAGCCTCTTCTGGCACCTATGTGTTGGGACCTCATATTAATCATTAGGACCTTTGTATCAACCGGGTCCGCAAAGATTACTTAATACTCATATAGGACCCGGTGGTGAAAGTCATTTCATAACCAAACTACTTCATCATAAATAAACGAACTCCGCCAAATATAACGCGTACTGGCGCAAATTGCGGGAGCAGGAACCAGTATTAATTAGCAACAATTATCTGTTGCATTGTAAAACTCAATCTCCTGGTGTTCGCATATAGAAAGCATCACTAGCGGGAATTGGCAATCTCACTGCTATTCCGAAAGCTGTACTGAAGAGGTTGGTAGACTTTTACTCGAATGCAATTCTCCTGGTATAAACGACAGGCCCAAAATTTTTGAAAATGGCCTTCGTAGCTGCACCATTGTCTGCCTTCTTCCAATATTGCTTCCGTGAGATAGGTTGCTCTCCTCTGTGGAAGCAAGGAGCAGTCAATTTTATTTACCAAGGAATGTGATCGTCTTAAACCCGAGAATAGCCGCTCGGCACTTGCTTCCAGATACC